AAGAGTTGAACAAAATCAAATACTTCTTTTATTCCCTAGTTAGTTATTCTTACAAACAGAAAATCCACTTACCAAGGTCCCTTGCTAAGGCTGTAAAGAGTGAGGTGCTGATTCTGTTGAGAGCTCTTTGGGCAGCACACCTTTTGGGAATATGTGTGATCCTGCTGCCTCACAGGACCACAAGAATCTTGCAAGTATTAAGTTCTTGCTGTAAAAATCCCTTCAGGAAAATGGAAATTTATGTACTTTTAAAGTCAAAAATCACATAGTATATGCCTTTCATACCAATGGCTTTGTTTGCTTTATTATTTCCTGGTACAGTGTCCTCTATGGCAATAAAATTACAGAACTTCCAAAGGGCCTATTTGAAGGACTCTTTTCTCTTCAATTGCTGTGAGTATTTTTTTCATATTTATTCTATTTTGGGATAACTCAGAATAGTAAACTTGATGAGAGATACATGTCTGGAGAAGAACTACCAAGAACTCCCACATGTAAGATCAGAGTATAATAAAAACAAATTGTGTTAAAGCCAAAGGAGTCAAAATTGTTGTAGGCCAGATTGCCATTCATCCACAGATTTGATCATATCTCAGTTAATGTCTCAGCCTAAAATTACCATAACGAAAGTATTCGCTTATGTGGAATTTAGAGGGATATATATAAGATATAAGTCTGTCTTGACCTGTAAACAGCAAATAGTATGTATAAAGCTGTGGGGGAAACATAAAAGGAATATTTGCATGTTTTATACAATGATAATATGTAGTGGAAATGCTATGTAATTGTATTTCTAGTTGTACCCATGGAAAAACAGAGTTGCAGTACAATTTAATTGAGGACTTTTAATGTTTTCTGACACTCTTCTCTGTACAACTCTTTGACTCTCTGAACTCTAGCTGCTATCTCATTTGACACTTTGGAAATTTCCATGTGCAATCTTACAAACCATTTCTATTTAGATTTAATACTGGAAATACAGAAGAACATCATGGTGATACATCTATCAAATATTGTCAATATTTAGCAGAAGAGAAGGTGGACGAGTTGACCTGTATAAAAGAAAGTGAAGTGGGCCATAAAACAACAGTGATTTTTTGGAAGAAATTGTCCCTGATTTGTTGATCTAAAGCTTCTTCTTAAAGAATTTAAAAATTCTTCCCACTAGATTACAAATATTTAATGTCCAGATTTCATAGCATAGTGATTGACAAATTGTTTATTATTAACTTCCTGAAGTTGGCAAAACACTAAATATTACAAAGAAAATGTAAGTTCTAGCACCACCTAGAGGTTTATATTTTGATTTATTTTAGTCTCTAACTAGTACAGCAGTGGTGGGATACGCATTCCTGTTTTCCTTTAAAGAGATTTGAGTTATAAAAACTTATTTCAGATTTTGTAAAAAAAAAAAGGAAGAGACATCTCTGAACTTCTGTTTATTCTGTGTTAAAAAGTGTCCATAGCTTGATATTCTTTGCATAGATAACACATTTCACTCTAAGCAAATTTCCACTTGTGTGGTGAATCTTTTTATCAGAGCATTGGTTTTCAAATCCACCATTCCACTCCATTTCTGACTGGAAATGGAAAAAAAAAAACAACCTAAAAAATAATTTGGTTATAAAAATCTAGTTCAATGACTTTTTTTTTCTTGTCTTCAAAAGCACGAAGGAGTTGTTTTAGATTGGCTTGTTTGTTTTAACTTTAGAAGTCTGGGAGGTACAGGGAAGAAAAGGTTCTCTTTGAAGATGGAGAGAAAAAGGGATCCAAGACAGATTTGGATATATTCCATGCCACCAGTTTTTACTACAACTCAGTTAATGTGGCAGCATGCTGATTAGTAACATATAATTAAAAGTGCCACTGCACATCTCTTCCAGCTAATGAACACAGTGTTCAGTTCCTTTTTTGTTTGTTTATTTGGCAAAAGGGGCTAGTTTTCCTTGCAGATACTTGATTTTTTAAGCTTGTTTCTTTGCACAGACAGATACCAAACACACATGTTCTACCGGCACATACAAGAAATGAGATTTTTGCTGAATAAACCCACACATTTCAACTCCAAGATACAAATTCTTAGGAATAATTTCAGATTACCTAAGTTAGATATTTCAATTTACTGAAAAGCCTTATGTCATTGTCAGTTAGTATTTTTTACTACATCTCTTGTTCTTGTTCATACAAATGCACACAAAGAATTGTCTGTGAAAAACATCGAAGCTGCAGTGACACTGTGCAAATTCATTCAATTTTATAATTGTCTTCCATTAAACAGTTTATTGAATGCCAACAAGATCAATTGCCTGCGAGTTGATGCTTTTCAAGATCTGCACAACTTGAATCTTCTTTCTTTGTATGACAACAAGCTTCAGACCATTGCAAAAGGCACCTTCTCACCCCTACGTGCAATTCAGACCTTGTATGTATGCTCTTATTTATGGCTGTCTTCAGTATGACTTCATATTCTACAGTGTACTGAAAATACCAGGAACTGCTGAGACCAATGGGAAATAACATGTGAAATTATCATTTTTTTCTTCATGAAAGGCATTTGGCTCAGAATCCATTTATCTGTGACTGCCATCTGAAGTGGCTGGCGGATTATCTTCATACAAACCCCATTGAGACCAGTGGTGCCCGTTGCACCAGCCCCCGCCGTCTGGCAAACAAAAGGATCGGCCAGATCAAAAGCAAGAAATTCCGCTGCTCAGGTAATTTTCTTGGTTCAGCTGCTGTTCTTCTTTTATTGGCAAAAACAGTGCTTATAGAGGTTCTAATGAGGGCAGCTGGCTCTCTGTGGAATTATTAAACATTGCAGAATCTTTTTAGTTCTTTGAATGGGGGAAATCATGGAAATCATAGACTATTGGATCATGGAACATTACTATAGTTAACACATTTGGCACTATTTCTGAGTAGCACTAAATCTAACAAAAGAAATGCAATATATAATACTTCAGTATGAAATGCTAAAGTTATTCACTACAAGTATGACCATCATAAATAATTTTGTAAAATTTCCACAAGGCTCTGGATTATGTGAAAGACCTAAAAATTTCTAGCTAAATATGGAAACATGACATATTCATTTCATACAAGAAGCTTACCTCATACTGAAATTTACTGTTTTCTTTTTCTAATCTTATTCCATTTCCTACTTACATTTCTCTAAATCCTAACTTTTGTCATATGGTATCCAGCTGTTCCAGGTGCATTTCACATTCTACAGTTTATTCAGTCTCAAGTGCAAATACCAGATGAGAACTGTTTGTTATCCATGTTCCAGATACATTTATGACTATTCACACTTTGTTGTTTATCAGCTGTCAATGTGAATACACATTTTTTCACTTAATTATCTATAGTTAAATGTAGTCCATACTTAATCTAATAAAACTCATTCTTTGCTTGCTGACATTCAGGTGCATCTTCTATTTTTTTCTCTTTATTTAGCTAAAGAACAGTATTTCATTCCAGGTAGGTTTGGTTCTGCAGTAAGACTGACTAACTGCAGATACTCTCTCCCTTTCCCCCAAAAAGCAAAGTTTGTTATAGCTTTTAGGAAACTGGTGCATGTATATTTAACATTAGTCAATACCTGTAGCTAGACATAGTTTTCCTTTGTAGATTACTAGTAATTCTGTTTTCTGAATATAAGAGCTTAGCATGCAGCTCCATTTACTTTTATTTTTGTCTCACAGATTTGCACACAACCTACCAAAATTATACCTCTACTTAAATTATTTAGAAGGTTGCACCTGCTAGCTCATATTTCAATTGACACTTTACTTACCTTGTACCTTGACTTTCTGCTACCACTGTTTTTAAAATGTAGCTCCTGAGCTGCTTTTAAACACAGGAAACCATACTACCATCAAAGAGCTAGTACAACTATAAAAAAATAATCCTTTTAAAAATGGCCATTTTCTTGTCTTGCTTTCATGCTCTATACTGGCTGCAGCTACTGCTTGCTCACCCTTCTTGTGTTTACGAAATCACAGTGGAATGCTTGGAAAAGAAAGCTGATACTCTTCATTAAAGGCATTCTGTGGTCACATGCACACAGTGAATCAGAAATGCTTGCTATTAAAGAAAATATGATTTTAGAGTTGTGAAACAGCAATGTACAGGATGCAATAAGTCTGTGATATTATCACAAAAGATTTACTGATGTTGGCCTAGCTCTTTGAAAAATGTTTCTTTCTTTACCTTGCTTGTCAGGTACGTGCACTGATTTCTTAATAGAAAAATAAAAAAATTATGCACTTGCATTATGTTCCTAACCAGATTATAAATGATTGGCAGAATAAACAAGGGAATAATGAATCTATTGATGAATTACAGTATGCGATTTGCAAGCAGAGTTTTGTACCATAGTTTAGTATCTAGAAAAATATCTACAATAATTGATTATGACACCAGTGCACTTGTTCTTTCAAGTACTACAGGTATATTGTCATTCTGCAGTGTTTGAAATACTGATTTATGGATTGCTCTTAGTCTTTGTCTTTTAAGCTGGTATGTTTAACGGCTCTTCTCCTAATGCTGTGTGATGTATCACGTAAATTTGCAGCAATCGTGAAGTTCTTCATGCCCTCATACTAATTTGCTGGTTTGAATATGAAGAAAAGACAAAATGAAATATGGAATAAGGCAGTAATTTATCAGCATTGGCAGCCATGAAAATGTGTTTTAAAGCAGCATAAAACAGAGGGGGATTCAATTTCTCAAACCTGTAGTACCACTCAATTCCTTAATGAATAGAACAGCTGTATTCCTGCCACAGAGTGACTTCTACTCAACCTTGCCAGTACAACTTATGTCTCTGAGTTAGAAGTGTTCTTTTGCCAGCAAATGTCTTCACAGACTGTTTATAATATGGCCACACATGCAGTTTAGGTTTGTTTACCTACAGTTTTAAAAATTCTACTCCTGAAAAAAACAAAAGAAGAAAAAAAATTAATTAAAAAGTGTTACAGAATTGCTTCTTGAATTGCAGCTTCTTTGCTTTCTCTTTCTATCAAGTTAACGGGGAGATGCTGCATAAAATTATTTTAGTTGTTGAAGAACTTGTCCCTGACTATTTTAGTTACTTACTTTAAACCACTAACAGTGATTAACTCTAGATGTGAGAGGAAAAAAAAAAGTGTTTGTAGCTTTGCTTTTTGTGTATTATAAAGTGCTAAAACACTTCTTTACACTTCAGTAAATACTGTAAAAATCCTAGCATTTCTTTAAAAATTTAAATACTTTTTATATTTGTTTCAAACATGTAATTGGAAGATCTTGATCTGTAGACACTAGGAAGCCTTAGTAGAATTTTAGTTTAGTCATTTGGAAGACTAAAGGTTATACAAGTATTAAATCATTAATTTGAAAAAATACCATTTGTCTGCTACCTTATAGAAATATTCCATGTAGTTATATCATATGTGTTACTTACACATTTATAAATGCTAGATATTATAATATATGTTCCTCCCTGAGGAATCTGTTTTCCTTGTGTCTCTTTTGTTTATTAAGGTTTTAAGTGGCATAGCATGTATATATGTTCAAAGAGCAGCTTTTAAATACGTTCAAAATAGTGAAGACTAATGCATGGGAGACACTATCATCCTATATGAAATCTGTAATTAACCCTGATCTTTTCTTCATTTTTTAATGCCACTTAAAATGAATTATTCTTTCTCTCTGCTGAAGACTGTACCCCTTAGCAAAATCTTCTAATCAAACTAAAGTTGCGTAGAGAACATGAGAGCTTAGTTCATGTTTTTGTCTTAATTGGGATTACTCTGTCTTTCTTTCCTTCTTGGCTATCTTTACTTTTGCAGGAGTTCACCATTTTGGCTGTAAGTAAAGTTCAGTGTTTGAGCTAAATCACAATGTACCTCCCAGCCCTGATGCACCTTCTACTAGTCTCAGTCTTTTCACCTTTGTCCAAGAAGAATCCACAGGTCCTTTCAGCTTCTCTTTGTTTTCTTTGTCACCCACCCTCAGTTCCTTACTGGATGTTTTCTCCTGATATGTTTAGGATGTTTTCTCTGACTGATTCTGGGAAATGGTGGAGGAAACTTTCCATGTGGTTTTTTGGTTTTGTTTTTGTTTTTATTTGGTTTTTTTTACTTTTTATTTATTCTGTGACAGTAATACTGTTACTGTGGCACTGGACATTCACTAATAAGAATGCCATGTCATGTAAGCAAGTATTAAACTTCAAATGCTTCTGTAACTTATACCTGCTCCTTCCTCTTTTCCCTTGCTCTTATCCTTGGCCTAATGGATGCAGTTTTGATAATGTAGCGAGATTTTCTGTTGTGCTTGATCTAACCATGTGGTTGTGAGGTATGAGTAAAACATGGTTCTGTCAAGCACCATGGAACGTCACGCAGCTTTCTACAGCATGGCAAGCTGCTGAGGCTTAAGTCAGGATCACACATTTTTTAAATTAAAGCTGAAAACAGGGCTTTCAATCTTACATGTTTGAGATGATGTGGAGTATTGGGACTATAAAAAAAAAATCACAGAGGTTAATGAAGTCCAGTCAACAATACAAATTTGTAACAAGAGAAAGAGAAAAGGTGGCATTCAGGATCCATTTAGTCTTGATACAGAGAAAGAAAATAAATTCTAAAAGAATTAGCAGCATTTGTGTGATTAGCTATAAACAAGGCTAGATTGGCTGACATAATCAGCAGAAAGTACAGCTGTGAAAAGCTCAAGTTAATGTTATCCTGTTACGTGAAGTTGGTCACAGTTTCTTTTTCCAGCATATCTTAAGCCCCTATATTTAACCCTCTCTTGAAGCCCTTGTGTCTGTTCAGTATCACAAAGTTTATCATACATTTCCCAAGTTGCCCACCCATTATCTGCATTGCAGACATCTTTTCAACCTTCTCACAAGAAGCAAATCTTAAACTTTATTGACTCAGTATCTGTATTTTGACTTGACTCTTCCACAGGCACTGAAGATTACAGATCCAAATTAAGTGGAGACTGCTTTGCAGATTTGGCTTGCCCTGAGAAATGTCGCTGTGAAGGGACCACAGTGGATTGCTCCAATCAGAAACTCAACAAAATTCCCGATCACATCCCCCAGTACACAGCAGAGTTGTAAGTTGAACCCATAATAAAGCATTATTTGCTTATGGAAAAACTAACTAAAATTTTCAAGTATAAAACCAGAGCTTTACTTTTTTGAAGAACAAAAATAAATGTAGTGCTCTGTGCTACACTTCAAAGGACTAGATATTAATAAAAATTACTTATATATCATTTCAGTACCATGCAGCCTTAAAAACTTATTATAAATAAATGAGGTAACTATTCTTTGTTTCTAGTTCTCCAGTACCTGAGCTACCCAGTTGGATTTTTTTCGAAAGGCAGTGGAGTTTATTTTGCTTTTTATTTTAACTACAAGAGCAAGTAGGACATCAAGTAACCAGGAGTCTGTCTTAAAAAGTGCTACCTAGGAGTTTAATAAAATAGAGCTGATACTTCTACAGAGTATACATTATTCCTCAGGCAGGAGAACAGAAGAAAATAAAGTAAATAAACAAGACAGAGTTGGATTAATAATATAATGAGCAGAGTTGAGCAGAAAAGAAGTCACAGAATACTACTTGCTTAATAAGTGCCATATGGGAATGATTTGTAGGCATTACAACTGAAGTGGTCTTCAAGGAGAGATTGAAAGATAAAATTAAGACAGCTTTACTAGGTTTTCCCATATGCAAAGCATAGTATGAAAGGAAAGGCGGAGATGCTTGAAGGATCAACAGAAAGGCAGGAGATAAGAGTGGCCATCATTGGCAGAGCAAAGGCAGGAGGAAATAGCTGTTTTTCCTAGGAGATTTAGTGTAAAAAACAGCAGAATGCTGAGAGACAAAAGAGAGGGATTTTGATACGATGTAGTGAAGCAGAGACGGAGATGTGGAGACAGGAGTACTGTGATCAAGTTGTGACCCACACGGGGGAGACGAGCAACAGTATGGCACATCTCTTAAAAGACAATTAGTCTGCAGCTGGCATCAAAGCAACAGTCCAGCAGTGCAGGTATGAAATTATGAGACCATAGGTAAGGATTTGGACTATCTGGACAGGAAAATAAACTTGAAACTGAAATATTGTGTAAATATAAATGGAGATTTTTATCTGTCTCTGAACTGGGAGGATTTGAACTTAGTGATGTTCTAATTAAAAATCTGAGTGGTTATTCTAGGTATGCCCAGAATGATGGCATATTCAATTGATAAAGTGACATATGTGAGAAAAGGAAAGCTCAGCTTTTGACCATGTTCATGCTGTTGATTTACTGTTCATAAAGTAGTGTCTTAGAAGAAAAAATTGATACAGTCTTGGGTAAAAGGAGATAGATTTTAGTGTGGAGAAATACTTTTTTTCTGTTTTCATATAGAATTTGCCAGGAATACAGTATAGACGGTGAAGAACCAAAGAAGGAGGGAAAAAGAAAGAAGATTTTAGTGTGGATGAAAGTTCACAAAAAGACAGAAAAGACTCATCAAATGTATATGTTATGTTACAGTATTTTGACGGAAGATTACTTTAATTGAATGATAAAAACTGATGGAATGGGTAGCAGGTTAAATAGTAGGAGGAGATCATGGTTGTAAAAATCAGTTACTGAAGCAAGAGATGAGAAATGGAGTTATTAAAGTGTCAAGCCTGCAGTGTCTTGATTCTTAGCAGGATTCATGTTTAGCTCTCTGCTCTGAAGAAATAATAATCTTAATTTAGTGTTTTAATTGTTGATTTTCTATTCATTTATTTACATGTGAAAGATAAACTGTCAAGTGTTTTCTTTCCATAATTATGATTCATACATATTAAATTCAGAAGAAACAATTAAATCATCAAGCTTCATCTGCTGTGTATGCTAAGCTCTCAAATTTCAGTCAACAAAAAAATTGTATTTTACTAAAACATAACTCATATTTGGTTACAGCACTTTCTGAAAACATACAGTCCTGTTTGAGGGTATCAGTGGATTAAAAATCCACCATTTCCCTGAAAGTGTTACAAAAATTAATCATCTCCATTCACTTCTGTTAAAATCTTTTAAAAGGAGAAGTTATACTTCTAGATGGAATCTGCCTCTCTTCAGTTTCCATCACTGCTTCTTTTATATTTTTTTGCTTTTAAAGAGCCATTTTCTGTCTAGCACTTTATCCAAGAATTATGGTCTTAAATTGTACCAAATTCACTCTTCAACCTTCTTCTTCATAAGTTATACAGATTGTTCTTCAAGTCTTTTGATGTAATAAAAAGGGGAATAGAGTAGATAGAGAAATAATTTCTACTTTTTTTTATCTTCCTTTAAAAATCCAAATACTGTAGCTAAATACAGTCTTCTGGTATTTGCCTCACTGATGCAAGAGTTACAGCTCTTTCTCTTGTTTCCTTTCATTATTCCTGGTCTTTGATATACTGCCTTTCTTGCTCCTCCTGAGACTTCCCAGTCTAGTTCTAGGGCCACTCTGTGATTTCCAGTTTACAACGTTTACTGGCATATACAGGAAGAGCAGCTAGTTAGCCTTTCTTATCTTTTACCCACAAAATTTGAGGTATAGATACTGGTTGAAGTCAAATGACATTGATGCTACTCTTACAGAGATGAAGAAGGCTAGATTATTTTATGCAGGGTGCTGTTTGGAGCTGAGACTGAGCTTGGAAATGAAGATCAAAAATGAGGGAATGTTTAGATTTCTTTAGATTTCTCTGGCAAGTATTTATTAGCAGCCCTGAGAAAAAGGACTTGGGGGTCCTAGTAGCTGAAAAGCTGGACATGAGCCACCAATGTGCATCTGCAGCCCAGAAGGCCAACCTCGTCCTGGGCTGTGTCAAAAGAAGTGTGGCCAGCAGATCAAGGGAGGTGATTCTGGCCCTCTACTCTGCTCTGGTGAGACCTCACCTGGAGTACTGCATCCAGCTTTGGAGTCCCCAACACAGAAAGGACATTGAAGTGCTGGAGCAGGTCCAAAGGAGGGCCACAAAGATGATCAAAGGGTTGGAGCACCTCTTCTACAAAGGCAGGCCGAGAGAGTTGAGATTGTTCAGCCTGGATAAGAGAGGGCTCTGGGGAGACCTTATAGCGACCTTCCAATACCTGAAAGGTGCCTCCAGGAAATCTGGGGAAGAGCTGTTCCCTAGGGCATGTAGCGATAGGATGAGCAGTAGTGGTTTTTAACTAGAAAAGGGTAGATTTAGGTTGGTTATTCGGAAAAAGTTCTTCAATATGAGGGTGGTAGATCGCTGGAACAAGTTGCCCAAAGCGGTGGTGGAGGCCCCATCCCTGGAGATATTCAAGGTCAAGCTTGATGTGGCTCTGAGCAGCGTGTTCTGGTAACAGTGTCCCTGCTTACTGCAGGGGAGTAGGACTAGATGATCTTTAAAGGGCCCTTCCAACCCAGTACATTCTATGATTCTATGATTCTGTGTTTCTCAAATAGTTTGTCTGGAGATCTGTGATACTTTTAAGTCCAAGGAAATGGGAAAAGAAGGGAGTACAGGAAAAGAGCATGGCCTTTTCATCCCTTAGCTCACATGGTTTTAAAAATAACAGGCATCTAGAAACTTCCAAGAGAGCTTGTATCATGGATCCCCTGCGATTTGGCCCTCCTTCAGAGGGAACAAAATAAATATTTTTCGTAGACTGATAGAAGAATTTAATGTAGCTTCATTTGCATTATCACAGTATATGGTATGCAAAGTGCAATTTAATGGGTTAAAGATAGTGAACTACTTTTGTCTCTGTCATTCAAGGGCTTGTAGGTCTAGGGAAAAATACTGCATTAAAAAAAAATCTGGAAGTAATAAAACAGTTCAAGGCAGACATTTAATTGTGAAAAGTGAAAAAAATCACAAATTAGGCAAGTGCAGTTTTAACTGTTTCTATTTTGTTTCTTACTCGCAGTCTTCCAGGAAAACAAGTAAAAGATTTGTCTAATCTGCAATTGAAGTCTTTGAGATAAAGTACAAGCCTCTAAATGCATCCCAGAAATAAAATATTTTCCAGGTAGCATTCTAATATATAGGAAAATTCAGGAAGCATTTGATAAATCACTTAAGCCAGAGTCCCCAAAAGAAACACTAAATAAAAACAATTTCAGTCTTATTTGTTCAATTTTTGTAACGATTGTACAATATCTGGTAAAATACCAGATCCTAACAAAATAATTTTTGAAAACATGAATATCACTGCAGTACATAACCTTCCAGGAAGGTTCAGCTGTTGTACCAAAACATCCAAATATCTTACCCATTGTGTTAATAGAACAGGAAAAAAACATCCAGTGAAACAAGGAAATAGAATATTTAGACATCATCACCAAATGCTTCTTTGTTTACTTTTTTATTTTGAGAATGGCATTTCACTACTTTTCTTTGAATAAACCAAATACAAGTACTTTTAAGATCCTTTTCATGATCCAGTGATGTACAGCTAACAGCTATCATTATTGTCTTTATCAGTAAAGAGCACTTGACTCGGAAAATAATTATATTAAGATGGAGAAGGAAGATATCACCACCATCTGTTAATTTTCCAGTCATCTGTAATAATTCTGATTCCTCTCTATGTGTTATCACTTACCATGACAATAGAATGAAAACTTACTGCACAAGTATTTAACAATTCCAAATCTAAAGTCAGCAATTTCCAGCCATAGTAATGCCACGTGATCAGTGTGGTCATTCCTCTCACCACAGACCCATAATTTGTAACTCCTGATGTCTCCTTGTTTGTGGATGATGCATGAAGTCTCACCATATACACAGAGTTAGAGATATGATTTGCACTACAGTTTTAACCAAACACAGTACAGTGATTCAACCCATGTGTCTCTTCCATCATAGTGAAGTATGGAGAAATTTCTCAAACACTGAAAAGCTTCAAAACACCTGGAAAATTGTTCGGTAATGTTGATAGTAGACTAAATAAAATAAAAATACAAATTCTACATATGACATTAGGTAGGACTAGTTAGCACACAAATACAAGATTGAGGAATAACGAGCAAGTAGTTAAAGAGAAGAGGCTATGGTGCTGTTGTCATACTTATTAAAGATAGGGTGTCATTGAGCACTGCTACAGATTTAATTTTGGGAGGTTCAGTAGTGTAGTATATAAGTTATATAAAATAATTGTTTTACTGTACATAAAAATAGTAAAATATCAGCTGGAATACTGTGTCAAGGACTTCTCTTTTCAAGATGGATATGGGTCACTTGGAAAAAAATTTCAAGGAGAACAAGAATCATCTAGAAAATAAAGCTTCTGAGGATAAACTAAAAAGATTGACTGCATTTGTGTGAAGGAAACTTGAGGGAGAGACAAAGTAAATTATTTTTAATACGTAAAAGATTGTTGCAAAGAGGAAAGGAACAAATTGTTTGCCTTTTTCAGTGGAGTTAGAAATGCTTGCAGTAGAGCACAGCAAGGAAAAACTATTAGAATCAATAAATGTTTACACACATAAGTCATTATACTAGATGGTACAGTGCTTGAAAAATATTTGAAAATGTCAGCATTTATAAAATGCTTGGTGCTTCAGTTGTTGATGGACAAAAGAAAAAAGACTGTTTACAGTGATGATGTAAAATTCTTAATTGGCACTGTGCAAAAAATCATTTTATGTGGTCCCAGTAAAAATCACATTAAGTCATCCAACTGATTTTCAGAGGTAGTAACATCTTTTGAAATTCATGGCCCTTGTACTTCAGTGTGGTATACAAATGTTCTATGTATATCCAAAAATCTCTTCCTGTCTTCCTTCAGTTTGAGTACGTGCTGAAACTATTGTACGGCCATACCTTCAGATTTACAACCTTAATTTCCCTTCTGGCTATCATTGAGAACAAGCAGGAAGGAAGGATGATTGAGCAGCGTTCTTTTATCTTCTAGGATTTTTTTAATATTTTCTTGCAATAAGGCAATTCTGAAAAGCTTTCTGGGTTTAGAATTATGCTGAATTCCATTTCATGGTGATCTTATCAGTCATCTCTTTTCCTTCCTATTTAAGATCACTAAATAAAAGCTGGACAGACTCCCTTCCTTAATAAGATGACTCCATTAAAACATATAAAGTATCTAAGACTCATAATTTCCGTTTTCTTTTCAGGAGAGGAAACAGGGATTACTGGGTCAATGCAGATATTTTTTTGAATTATAGATGGTTCCCTAATCTAGCAGCTGCTGAATGTATACTGTGCTGAAACTGCCTTGATACCTGGACAGGAAAGATCAGTACCCAGTCAGTATTTGTTGTTCATTATGTACCTTCTTGTGGTGTTGAAAAGCAGCATTTAATGCCTCCTTACACAATACATGTGTGTTAGGTGTAGTGGTCTGAAGATAAACTATGGTTAGAAAAGTATGTTTAAATTCTTTGGAAGACCTATGCAGTGTGTTTCAGTCCCTGCTCTAAAGAAGTATTGAGCATGAAGTAATTATTTAATTCTTATAAATAGTGTTCTGTGAGCACCTCCAGATGTCTGGCAGACCCCACTTGATATTCTTTAAAGAACAGTAAACCAAATCTTCAATGGCTTATATGTACTTCTTAAAAATTTTTATTTATAAGTTGTCATGGAATCCTTCCTTAGTTACATTTTGTTTTCCCTCCCTTAAAAGAAAAATTAAAAACATCTTATATTTCTCTGCAGTTTTAGCTTTATGATATTCTGTGGTCTGGTTTTGATACTGTATGTCTTATGTATGCCTAAGTTTAACTAATGAGAATGTTTATTCACAGGAATTACCAGAATTAGAAATGCCAGTATATATGGAGTTGTACTTCAGCTACCAGTTCAGTACCAGCTAGTCAGTTAAACCCATCTGAAAAGCTCACTTTGTATGGAACATTCTCTACCAGTGTCTGAATATGCTGTCTTAAATTGATGTTATTTCTTGTAGGCGACTAAATAACAATGAATTTTCAGTTCTGGAAGCTACTGGAATCTTTAAGAAACTTCCTCAGCTGCGTAAAATGTAAGTGCAAATTGAGTGACCTTGTCTGTTCAGATAGCACATTAGCTCCTTGCTGTGTTTCTCCACCTTTCTTAGTTCTTATCTATAAGAGATTCAGTATATTCTAATCAAAAATCAAGAATGGGTTTAAATTAATTACTGAGGTAGATCAGAGTTGGCAGCTCTTCTCTATGGGACTAGGCACTGCCAGTAACAACTTCTCATGGTGTATAGTTCCGTCACCTTCACTGCGGTATCCAGCCAGCTGGTCTGTTATGCAGCCACAGCAGGGAGCTCACAGTATAAGCTGTTTAAAAAAGGTTCCAGTAATCTTTTGCAACTTCCTGTTCTACTCCCTAACCAGGCAATTTTGCCTCTTTCAGCACATTCAAGACATAGCTTTGATTCTGTGCTTATTAAACTGTCATTAGATGAGGGGAATATAAAAATTAAATGATTGATAAAAAAATGGTTTGATAGCTCATCCATGTAAATCCATGTTCACAGTTCATGTTCTAAGAGGAGTTTATAGTCTTACCAGTTGCAGATGTTATTAAAAATAAATCTATGAAAAGCTTTTCTTTTTCTTCTTTAAAAGATGTACTTGAGGGTAGATCGTTTAGTTAGACTTAGTGACTCTATGCTCAATCTTTTCAGGATTAAATCCAGACATAAATAGTAAGTGAAGAAAAATGCAGGTAAAAATAGATCAAATTCATTAAAATGGTGCACTGCTTTTTTTGAATGTGGTCGACAAGTTACTACCATCAGTCCACATTAGTAGTGACCAAAATCTCAAGGGGAGCAATAGTATTACCTAAACTATTGTTAGCCTTATCCAGATACTTGCTGGCAGCTGTCATCATTGCAGTTAGTTAAATACTTATTTTTACTGTTACTTTAGTTAGTAGCCCAAAAATTAAAAAAGAAAAAACCCAACAATTTTGCTTTTGACCACTTGAGCACATGTTGTCACTTCAGATTGGACTGAGAAACTTAAAGAATGTAGGAATGTCTGGCACGGCAGTTCTGATGCTATATAGTAGATACCCAGTTTTCTTCATTACTCAAGGATCTCAGATTAGCATTTTTTACAGCTACAGAGTACCTTTAAAATAAATAAAACACTTGATGTGGCATACACACACATATACACACATACATACACGCACATATATCAGGTTTTCATATTTTTAAAAAAAACAGGGAAAAGGGAATATACTGTCAGTAATTACATATTTTCAGGCTACAAAGGTAGCTTAGGAAACATTTCGTGTCATCTAAAGCTAGTTTGCTACTTTTAATTGAGGAAGTGTCAAGGTTAAAGAAAAGAATATTAATCAGTCTTAGTGTAGATATCTGCTAGAACTCCGAAGAGCTTTGAAATCTGGATAACTGGGGAGGAAAATTTAACTTTTTTGATAATACTGCTCTGTAACTTCCTAATACAGTTATCAGTTGTTACAGCATTCTTCAATTTAGAGAATAGTGGTTAAGCATGACTGAAAAGCAGTGAGGTAACAGTGTTACAGAGACACTAGTACAAGTGAATTCTGTATTTTTGTGGAGCTCATATTTCTTCTGGAGGTTCTAATAGGTGCGAAGGCCCTTCTGCACAGATGACATTAAAAGATTGAGGCCTAAATGTTTAATTGATTTAATGGTTCATCAGTAAGAAAGTGCATGTATGTACTGCATCACTGATTAGCTATGCAACATTAATCCTTAAAATATCCCTGTGAAGTGGGTGAAGTAGTATCCATGCTACACCAGGAGCAAATAAGATTTTAGGAAACTAAGTGCCTGACACAGATGAGCCAGCTGATATGAGAAATAGTGAGTTTCTTGCTTGCAGTCCTGTGCAGCACCTTACAGGAGACTGAAGAGCTCCACTGGGAAGCTAAATGAAAGCAATGATTGTATCCATCACAGGCAAAGTGTATGTTAAATTATTAGGCTAGGCTAGGGATGAGTAGTTGGCACTCAGGATTAAGCCACAACTCCTTGTTTTGATGTCTTAGGTAATGGCACGAGCTCATTCTAGCAAGTGTATGATTTTTTTGTTCTAATAAAAAGGAACTTTTTTGAGTTGAACAATTAAAATGCTCTTCTAGAAGCTGCATCAAATAATGTTTGATTTTCTTCCCAATACCGTCAGTTCCATCACAGTTTTTAGCTTAATTTTACATTGTCTTAGAGCATTTAAAGAGCATTTTAAAAATCCCTAGTGTACTATAACAGTTTAGTGTGTAGAATACGTACTTCTGCAATATGTATAAATACTTATATGAAACAAACAAAACAAAGGAGGCAAGAATAACATGAAAAATGTTTAAGAAAACGTGGGTTGTTGACTATGTATGCTTTTGTATATATAGTACAGATACTACCCATTTGGGATGTAATTTCCATATTTCAACTAAAAACTATAAACACTAAACACTTCGGCAGTATTTTAGGTCTCTCAGTCCCACATTTTGATTTGCTTTGCATGCGAATTGCAGATAAATGAACTGTCTTGCTTATAAACCCTCCTTTTTAACTAGTGTCATAAATTATTAACATTTCATTTACTGTTTACATTCGCACGTTTCATTTACATGTGTTGCTGTTTATACTGCTTTCTAATATTTGTGTCTACCAAGATGAAATAAAGAAATCAGAGCGGTTATTTGTGGTGGTACTAATTCAGTATCATTTTGTTATTAATTCATGTAATAATACTGCAAGGACTGGAGACATAAGATATACAGTCACTGACAAGATTCAAAATTATGAAAAGGTATTCTTCTGTGGCAGCAGCATGGACTCAGTAATTGCCATTATTTGAAAACGTCTTCCAAAGAGTACTTTTAAAATGTTTATTTATTTAGTTAGCAGAGCACTGAATTTTGCTTTTATTGGTTCAAAGTTGAACAATGTGTTTGTTGCTTTTACACAGTAACTCAGTATATTGAAATCTATGCAGCATTTAACAGTTAATTTAGGTTATTCCAAAATGAAAGCATGTTTTTCTCTGTTTCTGTTAATGTGTAATAGAAACCTGAGCAATAATAAGATTACCGATATTGAAGAAGGAGCATTTGATGGAGCCTCTGGTGTGAATGAACTGTTACTCACTAGCAACCGCTTGGAGAGTGTTCGACACAAAATGTTCAAAGGACTAGAAAGTCTCAAAACACTGTAAGTGTAATTATTTGGGCGTTTTTATTCTTCCTTTTTGCCTAGTATTTTTTGAAGTAATATTCTGTCTGTTCTCAAAACCTTGATTTTGGAGAATTAGCTGTGGTTTATTCAACCGTATCTTAAGGTTCTTTCCTATTTTACAAGAAAGGTAATAATATGTTATATGAATTCATTATTTTTTAATGATGGATATAATGTAGCTGAAATTCTTCATTGTAATTACTTGGCTACAGAAATTATGAGTCCTCTAAAATGATGAAGTGGTTGAGAATGGATAAACATCCAACTGCAGAAATGGAAATGGGAATAATCATCTGCTTTAAAGTAACAGAATTTTGCATGGGAATTACACATTTTACGTAATGGAGTCTGATTCAATCCAGCTCAACCATTACTGGGAATTTTGCTAGAGGAAAGAATTATTCTGGTGGATACTGAAATGTGGGAAATTATTCTCTCCTAAGCAATTTTAATGCCATTTCAACAGTGAAGGGAGGAGTAAAAGCACTATGGCTTGAACTCATTTCATTCTTTCCATGAACACAGTTTAGCTCTTTCCACTCAAAAAAAAAAAGTTTATACAATCCACAGCTTCTTGGCCTTCTTCAGAGAGCCTGTCCTTTTGATCAGCAGAGCAGAGACAAGATTAATTGGTCTTTGGGGCTTCAGCTGTCCATAGACATTACATCTTTGTAATAAATCAGGCCTATCATTCCTAACTTTGCATTTAAAGCTGCTACAATTGTTAGAAACGGCTATTCTTAGACAAGACTGTGAGGGAAAAATATTCATTTATTGCTGGACAGGTAGGAAAACAGCAAACTTCAAAGCTTATACAATTTATAAAAATATGAGAGATTTTAGAATAGGTACTTCTGCCTTAGTATTCTGCAATTATTACTAAATCCTAGAGTCATGTTGAGAAGGAGTCAGGGTAGCCTGATTCCATTTACTTGAAATGCCTGACAGTGTAGTAGAAATGGTTTCTAGAAGTTATCCCTAGAAAATTGAGGTCGAAGGGACCTTAGGAGGAGATCAACAGATGGTACAACGTTCTGCTCCATGTAAACAGCAGTTCTGGAGTCATTAGGCTTGGAAACTTGAAGAGGGGGCTGCTGTATATCTCTGATTTGGGGAATTTAAATAAATTTAATGTATTGCCAATTAACAAACTCATAATTACTGGTTCTGGTACTGAAAGAAAAAAAGACCCAACAAACCACAGATGCTTAGGGGAAACATCATTTGCTTCTTTTGAAAGCTACCCACCCATCTTCCTGTTTTCCTGTCCTCTTCACGCTCACTGTCCTTAGTCCCTTCAGTGAGGTGACAGGCAGCACTGGGGTCACTGCACTGTGGTTCCTCCACCAATAGCGGTCCCTTTGGAGTCATACCTCTCAATCCTTGCTCAGGCCACCACCTCAGCTCCATGCCCTGCTTGGGCTAAGCTATAAAGTGCTGATCCTTCCTTTCTCAGGATGCTGAGGAGCAACCGTGTGAGCTGTGTGGGAAACGACAGCTTCACGGGCCTGAGCTCAGTCCGTCTGCTCTCACTGTATGACAACCAGATCACCACTGTGGCACCCGGCTCCTTCGATACCCTGCATTCGCTCTCTACATTGTAAGTCACATTGATGTGTTACCTTGCCCAAATTTATACCTCTGATGTTTTCAGGATACGTCTGTTAATGGTTCATTGTATAATTTTACTGTGTTAGGCAATGTCAAGGGAAAAAACAGTTCATAGTGGGATTTTTGAGGAAGTTTACTTTCTGGACCACTTTGGATGCACAAAGAGTATGTTTTCATTGTGCCCTTTGATGCCATGTTAGGCTCATTTCCAGTAGTGCCTGAGAAGGCATGAAAAACGCCCTGCTCGCCCCTCTGCTGAAGCAGAAGCCTGTTGATCTCAGCCACAGTAGAAAGCCACATTTTGGGTAGGCCTCGCACAATCGCAGCTGGTGGAATCATGTTGGCTGGCTGTCTGCACTGTGCTGTCCAATTATTATCTTAAATTTCCTCAGCCTACTGATGATCTTAATTCATACATGTTTTATAATGAAGCTTCAGTTTCATTTTCTATAAAAAGAAGCATCCCTTTTTTTGTTTAAATGGGATATAATTTCAGGGAAGAGAAAACTGAGTGAAGCTGCCACTCAGTTTACTGATGAAATGTTTTTTATAGGTAGCATCATTCAGGAAAGTACTTAATCTCCTTTTTACATAAAAAGTGACACTTTGCACCAAGTGAATAATTTGGGCATATTAAGGATGGCATGTTTATAAATAATGGAATTGTCGATAGGTTTGTGCTGAAGTAAGGAGATGCCAAAAGTACTGAGACTTCTACAACTAAATTCATTTTTATAACTGGCATGTAATCAACTTGGCTGTCACTTCAGATAGGAAACTTATTCTCTGGAGCAAATAAAAGATGGAAATCTTGAGACGACAAATTAATAGCATAGCTGTTGTCAGGTTAAAGCTAATAATGTAATCAGCCTTCATCTCTAAATGAAATTATTGCATTATCAGTACAGAGTGGCTTGACAACAAGTCAGGTCTTTGACAGTTTTAAATTATTTCTAAATACGTTATATCAAGATTCACTTCACAGAGCCTAAATTACAGCTTTCAACTATGGTTTGTACGTAGTATTGTTTGAAGAATGGTATTTAAGTTTAGGTTTTTGAAAATAGAAATAGAATACTTAGGATGAAAAAATGGTGTCATCGGAAATAAACTTTCCTGTGGTTCTCAGAAACCTCTTGGCCAATCCCTTCAACTGCAACTGCCATCTTGCGTGGCTTGGAGATTGGCTGAGGAAGAAACGCATTGTGACAGGGAACCCTCGCTGCCAAAAACCTTACTTCCTCAAGGAGATTCCCATCCAGGATGTGGCAATTCAGGATTTTACATGCGATGATGGTAAGAAAATTAATATTTGAACTTTTTAGAATTTCAGCTTTCATAGGTACAGCATTATATTTCCCAAGATCCCAAAGCATTATGCTTTAAATAGCTTCATCTGCATTTCATGCTCACTTTCCATGTCAGTTTAAAAAAATCTTCCTCCCTTTTTCGGACGATCAGCAAGCACACTGCAATTGTATATATGTTTTCAGTTTTTCTTGCCTATAGTCAGTACGGTAAATCATAATTTAGAGGTAATACAAAAATTGATCAAATGTTGTAGTTCACGTGAGAATATTTTCAAATGCTGATGCTTGAATCAAGACCTTCTTCAGATTACTTGATCAAACAACATGCCTTTTTGCTTCATTTGTGACATCCTGAATGCCAGGAATTCCTTCAGTGCTTAAAAAAAAGATAGCTGCTATCTTGCATCACTCTCACACATGCTTCCATTCATTGCATTATTAGTTTGTCAGTTTTCAAGGTTGTAACTTTTCTTTAAAGAGACTGTTTATTTTTTATGAAAAATAAATTTGTTAATTTTGAAAATCAACATATTTCTCTTTATTATCTTTCATTTAAAATTTTCTTCTTTTTTAATGACCTTTTTTCCGTATAATATTATTTCTACCTAGTAAAACGGCATTGTGCTAAATAAAGCATCACTTGAAATTTAAACTCTTGGAGCGATTGTTTACATAGATGACTTAAGGTTCTCCCTACCTAGAGATACCATAATGCAGAAATAGCATGTTTGCTTACAGGAATTCCAGGAGCAATATTATTGGTAATACTGAAGTGACATTTGTATAGCCAATTGAGTATCTGTTTTTATTAACCAGGAAATGATGACAATAGCTGCTCTCCGCTGTCCCGCTGCCCTGCAGAATGTACTTGTCTAGACACAGTAGTTCGCTGCAGCAACAAAGGCCTAAAAGCTTTGCCTAAAGGCATCCCAAAAGATGTAACTGAACTGTAAGTGGCACACTTTTTTCCTTTTTATTCAAACCAATGTCAGTTTTATATTGTCAGCTTCAAGAATGAGGGGAAAAGAAGATGAAGAATTGGATTCAGTAGATCAGTTGAAATGCATTAATGTACCACTTTTTAGATATAAAAACAAGCACAGTATCTTGAGAAATTTGAGACGAAGTTTGAAGTAGCAATGCTTTGTGAGTCCCAAAACACTCTAAGAACTATGTGTTACTGAAAAGCTTTAAAAATATAGGTATATAAAATTGTAATCACTCTCAGAATTTATTTCCCCAGCACCGAACCATCATACAACCGAATATGGATATCATGTTACAATGGGTTAAATTATGGGCAACAGTGAATCTGATTAATCTATGGTCACTGTTCAGGAAGGAATGAAAAATACATTAAAAAAAGAAAAAGAAAAAGAAAACAATCTATTAATATGTTCGCATGTTTTAATAATAAACATAGTTATGTTGTATTTCAAAAAGACTGGTTTTAATAGAAAGTCTTACTTTTCATATAGGTAGTCTTACACAACCTGGGATATTTTAGTAATCTCTTGTTACATTTTTATATGAGAAAAATGGTTAACATTCTATTTTATGAAAAGATATAATTTGAATATGCAGATGGACTGTAACATTGATATAGAAAAAGAGCTTCCTACTTCACATATTCTTAGAAGGTAGTAACTGAATAAGCTACTCACAAGACTAGGTGAGTCAATTTTCATGCACTATGAAGGGGAAAATATAAACCTAAAGATCAGTTTATTCATCTGTTTTGAATCTTGATCAGATAAGTCACAAAACTGAAAGAAATTCCAAAATAGAAATTATTTACAAGAAAAAAAGGTCATGTTTGTGTTACATATGGCAAGCATTTAATATTAAATTATTAATGCTTCATAATGACTGATTAATATAGTGCTTTTCCAGAAGACATCATAACTGTGTATCTTAAGTCACTAAAACAGTTTTATTGTTTTACCTTTTAGTATTATAGAGAAAATTCTGAAATGTCCACCACTAGTTTGGTGCTTCATAGCATCCAAAAGGCTTTAGACATTAATGAAGAGAAATTATTAAGAACTAAAATTAGCACACATCTATATACACCTATAAATTACTGCATTAGGCTTTTTTTCTAGAATGGAAGATGACTTAATTACGTATAGTCTGGCCTAATGAATACAATTTGACAGTGCAAGGGCATCAATGCAGTGTAAAATTAAGCAGCTAAAGAGAGGGAGTTTTAGAAGTGCAAGTGGAACCCTGACTGTGACTGAAAACTCATTTGTGTACAATTTTGTATGCTTTAATTAGTGTCTAAGCATGCAATTCAGCGTATTTTTCCAAAGGATGATGAAGGTGGTTCCTGTTAACAATTGCATACTGATTGATTCTTTTTGTTCATTAGCTTGCATCACCCTTCCAAGATGTGCTCTTCATGTGTTTTATAAAATACCTTAATAGTTGCTTCATTTGAACAAGGAGGAATTTTTATCGGCCAAGTGGATACTTGTAGTACTTCAGTTCTAATGAAGATAAGGCAATATATCCTAATTTATCTGTCAATAAAAGAATTTTCTCAGATTACTTCAAAACGTTTAAATGTTGTTGGTTTCTTTTTTAATAATTAAGTATATGAGCCCATGCTCCCTTCACCACCATTTATGTAATGCCATTAACATCGTGTATACATAAAACTTGCTGAGACACATATTTTGTCAAGCAGCCCTAAGGAAGGCATGATCCAAGGAGAAAAAGGAAAATAAAAAAATATTTTTTATTAGATTTACATAGTTATTTCATTAAGTTTAACTGTGTTTCAGCCTATCAATTTAGTCAAGACAAAAGTTTCCAAAGATGATGCAGCGTGAAGACTTTAAGCTCAAAATTAATCTAAGAATATCTCTGTCAGAGGCTGCTCTTAACTCAAGTGTGTTCCAAGTATTTGGATGGCTAAAGTATCTTCTTTGTATAGGGATAATGAGGGTGTAGTTTTTACTGGAGTTCCAGGGAAGACAAGTAATACCCTCGTAATACTGCTATCAGCAATTCATTTGCCCCAGTTGGGAGACTAAAGATCTTTAATCTCCGTTCACTGTCTGCTCCATTTCAGAGAATCAGGTAAATTCAGAACTTCTTATCATTTCTAAACTTCTTTTCCTGGTGAGGAGGAGAGCCTCTCCACTTCTACTTTGTAATGACTAGCTGCATATTGGAAACTTTGGGCAAGGCTCGTTACTTTCCTCTGCCTGTAACTCAGGGGCCAATACAATTTGATGTCTCTGTACCTCTCCTAACTCTAAGGATGAACAAGTCTGTTATTTAGAATTATGAGCATGGAAGAAGAGCAAGCAGTATAATACAGGAGCTGTAAACCTACAAAGAGGAAAAAAAATTAACTTTTTTAGTGAAGGGTAATTGATTACATACTTTATAGGAACGGGCTTGTAGTATGTCATGCCTGATATATCATGAGATATACAGGGAGAAATTAGGGAAGGTGACCTGAACTGCAGGCATGACAAATGAATTTGCTTGTAGAGCTGGGACCAGCCCTTGCTGTTTCAATTTTGAAGGACTACCTCTGCAATGTCAGGATCTGTTTCTATTTACAAGAGCTCAAAATCTGCACTTAATGTGACTTGAGGAAGTCGGGTTTGCTTTTCACTTGCAGGTGTGTGTGTGAAATGGAGATGTTACAGACCTCATTTTGCAAAGTCTTTACAAAATAATAGGAAGTACTATGTAAAGCTGGTTGTTATTACTGTTACTTCATAATATTCGTAATATCTGATGCAATAGCATTTGGCTCTTAGGCTACAGGTCCTCAGTTGTGTCTCTAAAAAACAAAAATTTGTATGTGAGATTTCTTATAAAACAGAAATACTATGTATTCATTTGTTATTAATTTTACATTTGGATTTTAAGATTTGTGGATAAAGATGCTACTGTTTAAATGAAAAAACATTAATGCTCTATGTTTTATTTTTCTATTTTAGTTATTTGGATGGAAATCAGTTTACCCTTGTTCCAAAAGAGCTTTCCAACTACAAGCATTTAACACTTATGTAAGTAGTTATAGAGCAACATTCTTTACTGGAATGAAAATAACCGAACCAAACCAAACCAAAACAAAAAAAGCTACCTGGGTTTTGTTATAAGAAAAAAAAAAAAGAAAACACATTTAATGTATCCTATCTTTAAGCAAATGTAATACCCAACCACATTTTTATAATGGAGGATGTTTTGTTCTGCCTATCACACCCTACACATAATATACTTTGTCACGTTTTATAAACAAGGGTATTTCATTCCAGTGCTTACATCGTGAAGTAAATAAGCAGAAATTACAATTAACCTGAAAAGAGATGTAAGACCTTACAAAATGTGTTAGGGTAATACAGCATTTTGTTACACATGGCCATAAAGGCACTAGAATTATTTCATTTACAGAAGAGACATTCTGTGATATGCTTCACTCCATGGTATGCTTCACATGGAAATAGCTCATATAGCTGTTGAAACACTTGAATGTAACCCCTTCTGTTTCTCCCACAACATGTGGTTTAATGACTCAAGAAGGGAGCTTGTCTAGAACACCTTACTCTCAACTCTCTTGCTGACTCATTCTGTGATTTGAGGCAAATCACTACTTGCTCTGCAATTTATTACCTCTACTACATGAATGATTTAAATATTATTTCTGTACCTTGTACAGTGAGAGAACCAGGGAGACTGTTCATGTAAATGGCTGTAGTTCCATGGCCTTTGTTAGGACTATAAAAATTTATACCAGCTGAGGTTGAACTGTGTAACATTCTGAAAGCAGTTTGTGGTTTCACTATAATCAGAATAAAAAGTGAAGGAGAGTAACAAAATCCCTTAAATTTCTTTTGACTGGGTTTAGAGCTTTGCTGCAAAAATTGAAAATGGTTTGGCATTCAAAAACAAGAACTTGCTTTCCTTTATTTATCTTATGCTAGACAAAAGTGGTCACGGTCACAAATTTAGAAAAAAATCTGTTTCCAAAAGTTTATGTATTTTGCAAATAACATCAGGAAAAAACCCTTGCAATATTCTCAAATGTATACTATGTAGAACTTATAGGAAACCTTTGTAGATTGTTTAAGGAAGTTACACAAAACCTAACTTGCAGCACACAGAAAATACAAACTTTGGAACCTCAGTACAAGAAGCAAGCATATAGATTGGACTGTATGCAGTAATAGTATCAGTGGAGACTGGATATATGTCTAGAGATGAGGTTAATTAGAGTCATAATGACAAGGCTTCCATCACAGAGATTAGGTCTATTTTTGACAAACACAGCCAGAAATCTTATAACTTTACCTCCTAATCAGAGAATGCACACAATTTAGCAGATAAATGTAATAATAAATTATAGATGAACAGTAAATAAAATGCAAATAAGATGAGCTTTAAGAGTCTCTATTTATTAGACCTGTGGGGGACATTATTGTAATCTCTTCTGAATGTATCCTTATACTGCTGTTATGAAGATGAGCATGTTCCTCAGCTACGTTTGGAAAACCAAACACTGTGCATAGTTCTTGTGTGGCCAAACAAGGGATTACGTAAGAGTCTCCTGAGTTCCAGATTAACAAAGAAAATTGTTTATTATTATGATACAATTGTCTTACATGCTTTCATGAAAATTCATGTTCAACAGTACTCTTAAGAAACAAATGCTGTATTTCACCACAAAATACAGTAAACAATAGTAAAATAGTCAACATAAAATGAAAACTAAAGCACAATATGTGAATAAAGAACAAGCAGCATTCACATTTAATATAGCTTCTTCAAAGCTTCTTTGAAGCTGCTATCTTTGAAGCTACCAGCAAACCACTCCAGCTTCCATCATACTTATGCTTAAGATTTTATTTATTAGAATATTGAACAACAAGAAAGATGTTAAGGCTTTCTCTATAAATCTTAGATAGTATTCTTACTAATAATAGTTCTGGGCTTTGATGTCTTCAGCACATAAGTGTTAAATAGAGTATTAGATGATATTTCCCCAGGTGTCATTAAGGACATGACTAGAATGATTTCCACTTTAAAGCATCACTTTAATTGCTATACTTGGGTTCATGTAGGATTGCATTATTAACTCAGTAGCATGATGGACATTGCTGTTGTATAAGAATGCATTGCACTGCTTTTTCATCTGTGTTGAAATGAAAATGCTTTTCTTTCATTGAGCTAAGCACTTGCTGGGCTTCTATATCGCATGGGAAAATAAAAATATGTGCTGCTTTAAGGATTGATACCAGTGATGATACTACTTCTACTAATAAAAATAATGTGTCTGTCAGTTTAGCTTACATTGTTTCAGGACTGGGGTAGTCATTTTAAGGTCTGAATTTCTGAATTTATTTTTTATAGAGATTTAAGTAACAACAGAATCAGCACGCTTTCTAATCAGAGCTTCAGCAACATGACTCAGCTGCTCACCTTGTAAGTTTAAATATGTAACAATGACTCTTTGCAAGCATTACAGTGGGGTTTATTTTTGTCTTGGAAAGAAAGGGCATTTAGTTGATTTTAAAGCTTGCTTGTTGTGGAGGCTGTAAAATAACTTGTTTCCTAACTAGCAATGTGTGCAAAAGCTGGTTTTGGTCATGCTCTGCATTGTTTACTGAATGGCTGATATACTTACTGATGGCATTTTATATATTTTCAGAATTCTTAGTTACAACCGCCTGAGGTGTATCCCTGCACGGACTTTTGATGGGTTGAAATCACTTAGGTTGTTGTAAGTATTATTTTTTTTAACCATTGCTATTTTCCAGAATTTTTATTTATGTACAGCAGATAGCAAATCTGTAGAAAGTTACTGGATTTTAAAACCTATCAAGTAATTGAGAAGTGATAATTATGTAACCTTAAGAATCTAATTGGCTTCATTCTGGGGAAGTATACTCTCAAAATGCTGCTCAAGAAGTTATATGACCCTGGACAACATTGTATAAACAGATATACACTTTTTTTCTTTTCTACTTTTTGATTTTGGCTGTGTTTCTTTTCTGTGTTATGTTCTTCCTTGTTATAAGCACGAAAGTCTAACAAAAAAGCAATATGGATAAATTCTGTAGTTTATATGAGGGGAGTTTGCAGTTGAATTTTGAATATTTTTATTCAAATAAGGAATTATTTCTTAGTTGTTTCATTTAATAAGGGAGTATTTCCAAAATCATTACACCATGGTTAACTATTGAAAAATCAGTAAAATTACTTTTTGGTTCCAATAAAACTTTCCATTTTTCCACTGGAAAAAACGTGGTTGAAAGAACACAAAAAGAGACAAAGGGAAATAGAAAACAGTCAGTCTGGTTTAGAGCTTCGGTTTGTCATTAAGACAGAAAACTCACAAAGCTGCAAAAATTCTTTCTCAGAAGTACCCAGCAGAACATGCACTTTTTGCCTCCATTTGAGTAGTTTATAACCATTTAATAGCTTAATTGGATTAAATGTCTCAACTATGGCATTATTTAAGTGTGCTCACATGACTTCAGTTATTTTACATAAATACGGATAATTTCAAGAACCAGAAGTCTAGATGTGTTAGTGATACATGTAACTGAATGAATTTATAGAAAAGGAAAGATATTTTTGTGCAAGTTTGCTACAGGAAATACAACACTATTGATGCTTATTGATGTTTAATTGATCTGTATTGACCTTAATAAGGCAACAACCTTAATACTTACTTTAATGAGCAGTGGATGCCTGTATTTTCCATTAATCCATGAAAGGTTAAAAAAAAAAACCAGAATTAATGGGAATTTCATAAAAAGTCAGAAATAACAACTCTTCTGCTTCCCCTAAATCCAATCAATACTTTGCAGAAGTGTGCCTACTTTTACCAAACTTATTATTAAGATTTCTTGTGAAAATTCAGGATGAAAAAAATCAAGTGATGAGTAGGCTGCCAGTTATAGCTTAAAAAAAAAAAAGCTGGAAACACTGAGGACCTAGAAGAAAAAAAATGTGAAAAGTTGAAAACTTTTAAAACCGTTTATCAAAGATGAAATTTGCAAAGTTAACCTGCTGATTTTTATGCATATGTGTTATTCTGTTTATTTTCTTTTTAAGGTCTTTACATGGCAATGATATTTCTGTTGTTCCTGAAGGAGCTTTTAATGATCTTTCAGCATTATCACACCTGTGAGTATTCATATGATAGCTATTTTTTACATTACTTCTAACAAATTTCACATAATTGAACAAAGACAGAATGCAAAGGCCTGCTCTGGAACAAGCTCATGCGTCAGTGCAGGCTGGGGTCTGGCCAGAGAGCTAGCAGCTTCACAGAGAAGTCCTCAGCCTCCTGGTGGGCAACAAATTGAATGTGTCTGCCTTGTGCCATTATGGCTATGAAGGCTAAATGCACCCTGGAAATAGAAAGCAAGCAGCCAAGTGATTGAGGATAGTGGTCACTCCCTCGTGTGATAGCTTGGCCCTCCTAAGGCCACACCTGGAATATGTGTTCAGTTTCTCCAGTTCAAAGCACATGTGTATGAACCAGAGGAAAACCGGGATAGGGGTGAGCAAGGTGGGGAGTTGGCTGGATCATATGAGCTGTGGGGAGAGGTTAAAGGAACTGGTGTTATTTAGGCTGGAGAAGGAGATGCCAAGGAGGGACCTAAGAGTCTTGAAGCCTGTAAGGGGATTACAGCAATGATAAAGACAGATTTTTCTCAGAGGTGCACAGTGAAGAATAAGAGTCAACAGTCAGAAGCTGCAACAACGGAAGTTTAATTGAACTTGAAAAGTTCTTCACTGTGAGGTTGGTTCAGCTTTGCAACAGGTTGCTCAAAGAAGCAGAATAATCTCCATCCCTGGAGATTTTCAGAGTGCAGCTGGTCACAGCCATGAGTAACTCTGCTCTGATTTTGAAGTGAGCCTTGCTTTGTGCAGGAGGTGAGAATAGATGACCTCCAAAGTGCCATAAATTATTCTATGTCAGTGTCTGTTAAATTGACATTAAATACATGACATCTGATTTCAGAACATCATTTGAGGCAATACTTTTCCTGTTTTTAATTTTCAGTGGGAACCTAGATTAGAGGAAGTCACCTATCTTTAAACCTAGTTGTGTTTGTGGATTGTTATTAAATCTTAAATTGAGGAGTAAGTTGACTAGTGCCTTTAGGCATATTTGTTTCACATGTTTCTGAAGAGCTGCTGTTGTTAAAAACTTAATTATCTGCTTCTAGTTCAGTATTGGACATTTAAATTTAATTTGCGATTTCTCAGAAATCTGATGATACTGATTAAGCTTTAAGTCATTGCTAATTCATTTAAATGCTACTATTAAACTAGCTTATCTACATGAAATATCAGTAAAACACAGATTTGATTGTTGTTGCTGTTATTTTTGTCTTAATGGCTACCAGTTATTCTGATTTTAGCAGAGCAATTGTGTTATCTCAGTTCAGACTGATGTTCACTCATGCAAATATGGAGTAGACACATTCCAGGTATTTCTCCTTGCATGGGAAGTTCCCTGTCACTAGCCTGATTTTTGTTACTGCTCTGACTTAAGCCTGACTGACTGAACAAATATATATAATTTATTGTGTTCAGCTGAAAGTATATAGCAATAAGAAAGAGGGGGCTTCCTGCTCAATATGGCAGAAAAGACTGTTTCAGTGATGGTAATTTCTACCGCCTTTGTTACCAAAGATTTTCCTGTATCTCTAGGAGACCCAAAGTTGTGGAACAATCCAAAAAAAAAGTAGCGAATCATCTGTGGAAGGAGGATGTTCTGGTACTGTCATTTGACAGTGTGTGCATATGTCAATATTATCTGTTGAAAGTTCTATGATTATTGTATTTCTTAAAAGGAATATGAGAACATCTTTATAGAATAGCACAATGCTTCTTTCCTCCAAATTAACTACACAATATATCATTGCTCTCGGAGTTTTGAGCTTATTTATAGTTTCTAGCAGAGAAAAGAGACATTTAAAAAGCCTTTACATAAATTAATTCTGAAAATCTCAAGCTAAATTGTTTTTTAATTAAAAATCAGATTTATTTCAAGAAATGGATTTGCTGTTGTAACAGGGCAATTCTTATGTAACTACCACAAAGCTAGGATAATGTAGTTTTATTTACCTAAGCAGCAGACACTTCTTACAGAATTCTGCACATAGCTGTGAGTTCAGTGGGAGAGCTCTAAAGAGGAAATAATTGAATCAAATTTGGAAACTTAGAAACAGATGGTTTGTACCAGCCTGGGAGCCATAAACTGAAAAGGGAAAATATCAGGGTGGAACTCTGTGGGGTTTCCTTGACTGCTTCGGAACAAATACTTTATTCTTGCTAACTTAATTTCCCAGTATCAGTTTCCTTCTGCTGGTGCAGCTGATCTTGGCCATTACATACCGATGGTGAAACAGAGCTGGTTAGTATTAGCTCTCCAAAAGTCACACGTAATACAGTTAAGAGCAGCTAGGTTTCTGGACAAAGTTTATTGCTTAAACTGTCACTTCTTGATTTAGAACCCAAATCTAGATACTTCATCCTCCTAGGGTCAGTTTGGTGGAGGGAGGTCAGGTTTGCAGTTTGAAGGTTTTTATACCAACCTGCTTTCTGGGTTCTGTTTTTAAAAGCACCCATTTAAAACTTTGTTCCCTTTTTGCTCATCTGTTTTCCATAGGGCTATTGGAGCAAATCCTCTTTATTGTGATTGTAACATGCAGTGGTTATCTGACTGGGTGAAATCCGAATACAAAGAACCCGGTATTGCACGTTGTGCTGGTCCTGGAGAAATGGCAGATAAACTTCTTCTGACAACTCCTTCTAAAAAATTTACTTGCCAAGGTACTGTTGTTTTTTTTCTCTTTGAAGTGTCAGTTTTGAATTTTTACTAATAGTTGAGCTGTGAAATAAGAGCACTAAATACATTTTTTATAGCATCTTCACTCAGCCGTGTCATCATTCCTCCTCATACTGAGGAATGTAGACATTGATTCCATTTAGGAACTTTACTCATTTTAAAGACTTCAATGCCCATTTCTTTCCAAACAGTAGATGGAGAAAAAAGTCTTTGGACTTGCAATACAGTATTCCTCAGTACACAGATGTACATAGGTACTTGGTACTGTCTCAGTCATGAACTACAATTTAAACATCTACTCTTCCCTTAGCCAAAGAATGTCATTTTCCTTCAGACTGTCTACTGTAAAAACTGTAAATAGTTTTCACTTAATCCTTTATTTTACATAATCTTTACATAAGTTTACAAGGTATTACGTAATTGCATCAGATTATTTCTTTTTTGTTGTTGTTAATTACATTTCTCAGATATTTAAGAAGAAAGCATTACTAAAAAAAAAATAGATAAAGGGATGTGATTACTTCTGTAGAGGTCTCATTCTAAAATGTTGTTATATGGGGAGTTTTCTTAGGGTTTGGACCTAGAGCATTTATCCCCATGTTGTCCATGTTGGTACCAATGTTGCTGGCGTCTATATCACAACTTATATTATTGTCTGTTAATTCCTAACTTCCTTTTTTGATGCTTACTATTTTTTTGTTTAAGAAGTACATTTTTTACTCATATGTGAGAGAGAACTTGGTTTATTTTATTGTTTAATCTTACTCTATTCCATCAATTTCTTCCTTCTTAAGTATTTTGAAAGCACAGAATACTTCTGCTATATTTCATTTCCCATGGTCCTGATTTAGAAACATTGAAATCCCCAATTGGGAAAAAAACCAAAGACTAAAAAACAAATAAACCCCCAACCCCCAATAAAAAAAATCAGAACAAAATTTATGTGTGCTTATACTTGTAAGCTGCTACTAAGCTTATAGTTATTTCTGAGACATCTTAAGTCCTGTAGAAGTAACTTATTCTTACAGTCTAGGTAATCTTTAAGCTATTTTGATTTATTCATCTGTTAATATATCTTCAAAGGTGAGCTTAATCCCTTTGTAATTTCTTCCTTTAAAAAGTGATGGGAATTTGTCAGAGTCTGTCTCATTCAAACTTGTTCTTTACTGCATCCTATGTAGTCTTCTCTCCTTAGGCTTCCTGTCAAAAAACTTTTTTTGTAAACAAAAACCATTGAAACCCATTTTGTTGTGTGTGATGCCAATGAAATGTCTCTCCAAATCCTTCTTGCAGTTTTTCAACAGTACATCTCTAAGATCATGCCAACGTTCATTGCATATGATACTCATCTTTTGCAAAGTCCCTTAGTCTGATTTTAGATAGGTCATTTACTGGCCAATCTGAGTGTTTTCTCTACAGGCATCCACTGACGACTATTGTGGATACACTCTTATTACACACTGTTGTAGGGGTATAAGTGAAAGAATATTTGCAGGGATGCGAAGGACTTCTTTGGTTATTTTCCAGCTCTGTCAATTTTAATAACTATATCATCCCTGCCTACAATCATTGTTGTGTTTCCGTTAGACAATCCAGAAAGTACATCTTGCTCCCTCTTGCCCATCAGAAAATACCCTTTATATTATCATGCAGGGTGAGAGCTGTATTTGTTTCACTTCCAAGAGTGGAGATCTGGTATTACAGATACCTTTGAGTGAAAATAGTTTTCCGGACACTGTCCTATGGAGATGCTCATAATTACAGATTGCATATCAGCAGCTTTTCAATGGCAAGATGGCCCTGTAAGATAGTGTGTCTGTTACTGAAAGATAAGTAATTTTATCTTCTTACAAATGAACTGCTGATTAGAAATTAGGAAGAGGCTATATTCCCATTAGAACCAAAATTTTATGCTACAAGTGAGAGGACTGTTTTCAGGTATACCCGCTGATGGTCTGCTACTGTAAGTCTATTTACAGGAAAAGAATAGTGTGTAATTCCTTCTTATTAGTATATCTGGATTCAATTGGAAGTGAAATGGGTGCTTGAATTTTACTTGCATAATGAATAGTTCCCAGTGAAAATGAGCATTTTAAAATGAAGTCTCTTCTCAGTTGTAAAGCTTCATAAAATCACTGTACCTTATTCTAATTTTATGAATTCTTTTACTCTAGGAATCATCCCTCAGTATTTTCTTCTTCCAGTTATTTTTCTAGGTTTATGGGTGTTTTTTTCTTTTTTATGTGGCCACTAACAGATTGTCAATCTTTTACCCCTTTACTATCCATGCCCTGCTTCTAGAGATTCCAGGGCCTTGTGGGTTTCTGATACCAGGTAAGGTTAGAAGTAGATCTGGAATGGGTGCTCTGATTAAGAACGGACCTTCTGACCTTCCTTTGTGTACCTCAAGCACACTTCTTCCCTCAGACACGCATGTTACTGTTTGTTTTTCCCCTTTGATCAATTTACAACCGACTCCTCATGATACATCATTTAACATATTATATGAACAGATTTGTTGTTTTAAAACTCTTGGTTTGAGGTGAGAAAATTTTCTAACCAAAATTATTGTTTCCACTGCTTTGTAGTAAAATTAGTGATTTCATTAGCAGGTTTACTGTAAGTGACTCAGTGTAGATACTGATTTTGAGGCCATATGCAAGAGAGAATAGGAGTTCACGAGTAATAACAAGTCAGAGCTTAAAAATTTTCTTGCAACAGGTTTCTCTAGAAGCTGATTTTGAGAGGATTTGTGACATGTTTTTCTTTAAATAGCTATGTCACTGTTTACAAAAGATCACTTCTTATTTTTTATTTTATTTTAAGGATTTTTTTCTAGTTAGGGCTTATTCAAGAATATACATGACTACTAAGCAATAGGTTATGAACCCAATACTTTTTCATATTTTTAACACATGCAAGCAGAAAGAGGAAAAGGACGGTATAGTGCAAATGAAAATAGGTTCTAGAACTGCCTTTCCATTAGACTTCAGTAAAAATACCTGAAACCTTTCAATTTTTTAATCTTACAGCTGAAGAATGATAAAATGTGAATTGTTATTGGGTATAACATTATATATATATATATATATAATAGTTTGAAATAAACACAGCACAAAATCAGAGACAGTCTTGTTTACTATCTTGTTGAGAGTTAAGTTCACATTTTCTGTCTCTGTTTCAGAAATGAAATTTAGTTTGCTAATCCTTTTAGGTAAATAACTTTAGTTACTGAATGTTTTTTAATCCATGCCAAATAATTACCATTATATTGCATAAGAAGTAGAAAAGAGGAGATGATGTTCAGAATAAACAGTTGAGGCAAGGAAGCATGAACTTCCAGGCTATAGCACAGTGTTACAGTTTGGTATTTTTTTTAGTATGTGCCTTATTTTATTATCTTAATGTACTCTAGTAATAATCAGCAATAGTCTAGAGTACACAGGCAGGACTTTCTAGTTGTTAATTCTATGGTGTTTGTTTCAACTCTTCTACTTCTGCTGTTTGCTGGCCCAACAGAAACTTTAATCAGATGTAGATCTCTTTCAAAATAAGGTAATGAAGACAGCAATGATCCATATAGATTGTAGCTTTGGCAATAAGCATTTTATCACAGACTACTGTGTTCATCTCTTTGGATTTGCTTGCAAGCTGTGTCACAGAATAATACAAACAACTGCAGATTTAAAAAAAAAAAAACACCAAAAAAAAGTCAGGCTCTCCCTGTCCAACACCCGTACTGAATCCTTATATTTACATGGCTTCCTTCCATGCCAGCTCCTTTACAATGACTTATCTGTGATTAATTTTGCAAAGAAAAATAAGTAAAGGCAGTTAAGAAATCTAAGTTTAAAAAGAAAAAGACAAAACCAAAAACAAGCCCCCATCCCCAATATCTCAGTAAAAGTGCCCTGTTAGATTGCAAAACTTTGCAGTCTGGCTAATTTTGAGTGCAACCTGTTATGAAGCAATCAGGCAGTTCTACCAGTCGGCCTCAGAAGTTTGTGGTTTGTGTCAAGAAGAAATTACTGGTTATTCCTTAAAATGTACAAATTATCTATGGGTAACTGAAGAGCTTTTTAATAGATGAAATCTGAAATCAAGCTGGAGGCAGTAGTCTCATCAGGCAATAGAGCTGGATATAATGGAGAATGTATGTTTGTTCTCATAATACAAATTTGGCCAAGTCTCCTGTTTTCTCACAGTAATCAAACTTTTTTCTATTACAAAGTGTATGAAAATTAGCCGTTATTTAAATGCAGGTGATTTCTAATTCCTGACAACTAACCAGTGATTCCTTTGGTTGTTTGACCAAAGGGAAATACAAAAAGGTGGTTCCTAACTGGAAATTTCACCATCAGAAGACTGTATAAAAATTTAAAAAACAACAGCAAAAAAAAAATCTTAAGAAGTATTTATGTAATAGGGATATGATTTATGTATGCCAAACTCCAAGTCTGGTTTCTGAAACAAGACTTTGTCAATACTCATTTCTGAATTCTGTGACTATAATCATTCATATAAGAACCTAGACTGCAAGCATGGATTGCAGCCCTGATTTACACACAGATTCATGGTATAGTTTGCATTATTTGTGGGCTCAACTAATGCAGTAATGCACAGAACTGTAGCTGATTCCATGAGGAGCGAGGTTAAATATGGAACTATCACAGTGAGATAGCTTGGACAATGCTATTTATGTTACAGTTCATAGATGTTCAACCAATTTACAAGTAATTTTACTGGATCATTTTGCTATCTCTGATCTTGGAGGTAAAAAGTAAATAAAAATACATTTAAGATAGTGTTGTCAGCAACATCATCAAGGGAAGGATTGCAAATTTGTATATCCCTTTTTTTCATAGGCAATTTTTACCCTCTAAAGTGAGAAAACCTGAAACTGTATTCTTCATTTTGCTAATACTAAGGGAAGGTAGTTATCATGGATCAGAACTGTACAGATTTCAAAGAATGGTGATATGGGAATCACTTTGGGGTCAGCTTCTTTTTAAACAAAACAAAAAAAAGTGATAATTAAACCAAAAATCCAACCCAAAATTTATTTCAACATGTCAAAACACTTAAAGGCAGTCCAGCATTTCATTCATATAGAAACAGCACAAGTTATAATAAATTTCATTTTAAAATTTAAAGCAATGTGGCAGATATATCCTGTCAAATATAATTTAATAGTTGTTTGCCTCTGACTATTCAATTTGTATTTTTAAGGGCCTGTGGATGTTAATATTCTTGCTAAGTGTAACCCCTGTTTATCAAATCCATGTAAAAATGATGGAACCTGCAACAATGATCCAGTTGACTTCTATAGATGTACTTGCCCATATGGTTTCAAGGTAGGTACTGAATGGAGAGGAAAAAAATTACTGAAATGTAAACTCCTCCTTACCAACCTTTAAGTTTTATTTCTCTCCCTTCCACTAGTGTCTGTATTTTCTTCTTAAATTATAATTATTGTTCCCTGCATAGGGTCAAGACTGTGATATTCCCATTCATGCTTGTATTAGTAACCCATGCCACCATGGCGGAACTTGTAATTTGAAAGAAGGAGAAAAAGATGGTTTCTGGTAGGTTGGTTTTAATTGTAATACTGAGTGTTATATGCTGAAATAGTTTTGGTCTTAATCTTTGGGTTCTGTGTGTTTGCTGGTAAGTGCACCACAAAAGCAGATTTTCAGTGCTTCTGAAGTTTTCAGAACACGTTGCCATCCTTGGAAAGCTTCTAAAGTTTGAGGCTGTTAAAAACAATAACAAATGATGGTGATTAGTTGAGGCATATCAGGTCAAGACAACATAGTATTGACTCCATTATGCTAATTAATAGCTAGCTAGATCCCTGCTGAAAAAAATCTCACAATTCATTTGTTGTCCTGTGTATTACTACAACAGACAGCATATAAATGATAAAATGTAAATCCCAGTGAAACAGAAAATTAATGATTCATTTGAAACTCACTATGCCAGCAGACAAACATGCTGTGAGCATTTTTAATCTTCAGTTATTTAATCACACAGTACAATTACTCCAGATGTACTTCATGAATTATGAAATAAAGTTCTCTAGCATTCTTACATGAAATTATTAGTCACTTAATAATCTACATCTCAAGCCTGTTAGAAATGACACTTCAAAAAGATACCATTCATTATCTTGCAATTCATTATGACATTATTCTTATTCTTAAATCCAAATTCTGCCCAAAGATTAAGTAGTTTTCTATTAAAAATTAAGTGTATACATTAATACTATGCCTCTACAATTTAAAGTGACATAGTCACGTCTCTGAATTTGACTTTTTTCCTTTGTTTAAACACTGCATATCTTGAAAATCAAAGTAATCTCAAAATGAAAGCTGCAGAAATTATAGATAGTGCATATTACATGTAAATGTGTGTGTAGTCATCAAAAGATCAACCATTTGATCTTTTACATTTACTATATATTTTGTTTTGTTTGTTTTGTATAAATGAATCTAAAAGCAAAAATAAAAAAATAGTGCTTTGAAGAGTTTATACAGGCTTTGTTTTCATATATTAATCCATATATCATGGCTGGAATGTTAAACAGAACTTTATATTGGTGCATTTAACTGAATGTTAATGGAATACTGTTATTACATACTAATCCCTGATTTCAAAATCTTTTCCATGTATTTAACTTTAAGGATATAAAAAGGATCATTTTCCATAAGAAATACAATCTAATTCTATAGTACAAAGGTAAAAGGTTTTTCAAAAGTAGTGTTCGGTGATTTAATTTAAGAAGCTCCTTAAATTATAAATTAAGGCATGAATTTAGGAGATTTTTTTTGTAATTTAAATTATGTAAAATATTTTGCTAACATTTATTGTCCTTTTTTTTACATTATATCAACCATGTTCTTTTATGAGATAGTGATTATGAATTATTGTACCTATTAATTCCAGAACTACTTGTCTGGTCTCCCCAGCGTAAATGTCCCTGTGGTTAATTTTGTTTTCTGTATTACAGGTGCACTTGTGCAGATGGATTTGAAGGTGAAAACTGTGAAATAAATGTTGATGACTGTGAAGACAATGATTGTGAAAATAATTCTACTTGTGTGGATGGAATTAATAACTATACTTGCCTTTGTCCACCTGAATATACAGGTAGGAGTATAGGAGAAAGTACAGGCAGTTCAAGAACTCCTAGCAGAACAGCAATATTTTTCATTTTTTAGGTGAATCAGTAGTTACTCTACAATTGACTTAAAGCCAGGTTTCCCTCCATATTTTTCTCCTACAGGGTTTACAGACAAAAGTAAACTTAATGCCCACTCATTAATTCCTTTGTTAGTTTTGAAATTACAGCCTTTTGATATTTAAAAGATCATTCAAAATGGGTCTCTCTCTACTGTTTACCTAACCCAGACACCTCAGTGAAGGATTTCTGTAGCTGTAGAAATCTGAAAAATATTATCCTTTTATCCTGTATACCTCATGTTGCTAACAGGGCAGAAAAGGATCTGTCTGTGCCAGTAGGGAACTGGATTTGGCATCCCTGTATGATGTCCTGCCCTCTGTTAGAAACATTAATACAGAATGCAATGCTTTCTCTTCTAGTACTAAAAAACCAGAAATCATTAGAAAATATCTGTTTGTTTCTGTCAGTTAGCAGTCAGGCCAAAGCATTCCCCTTTCTTTGAGACCAAGAGTCTCTTGCTCTGTCATCATCTCTGTGGGAGTGGAGGACAGTTAGACCAGCAACACTGGGGTATAAAAAATAAGATCTGTTGTTAACATTGATCTGTTTTGTAGTTTTTCTAACTAAACAGATCTATCTTCCATCAGCTAGTTGTTCACAAGCAGAACACTAAATTCTCAGAACCTTAATTTGAAATGCATAAAAAAGAAATGTAAAATCCACGATAACTGGGGAAATAACTCTACTCAGTTATCCAATATCTTTACTTTACACAGTCAATCAAATCTGAGCTCTGGAAAACTGGAAGGAGAGGTGAACTACTGACTTAGTTTCATTATTGAAACACAGCTAACTCCTTTTTAATCTAAGGTATTTCCATCGCTAGTTCTACAACCGATTCTATTGCTTGAATGTTTTAGGATGTTCAAATTTAAAATCAGTATTTAAATCTTGTAAACCCACCGTGAAGAAATACAACTTCGTAATCCAATATATGTATTCATCTAGTACTTGTGCTGTGTAAATGTTTGGCAGAATTTTCGCCAGAAAGAATAAGCTACAGTAGCTACAGCAATACAGATCAAAAGTATAAGTAGCCAGAATAAGATATTTAATAAGTGGATAGTCCACATCTGGGAGAACAGACATAATTTTCTGCTTAGGATACTGTTTTGCCAAGTACTGATACCTTAATACCTAAGAGCAATTGACAATTCAAGCTGTAGAAACAAATAACTGGTAACAACATCAGTAAAGACAGGTGTTTGCTCTTTCAGCTATATGTGAGTCAAGCTTCCGCAAGTTTCAGATATTCTACTGAGTAGGCAGGAAGAAAGCAAACAGTCACATCAGTCCAGTATTCCTGTTCAGTGTCTTCATGCTAAGACGTTTCAGATATCTAATAGCAGACAATTCATTCGCAACTGCATTGCTCCTCTGCAGCTTTGCAGGTGTTTTCACCTGTGTCTTTTGTTTCTTCATTTTTGACATTGGTCTAGTTGCATTTAACTGCTAGAGTCAATAGCTTCCTGTATTCACAATTTGCCATGGGAAGGACTGTTTTGTATTAAATATCCATGGAGTGGATACGGAGACTTGTTTATATGTGCTGGCCTAAAACTTTGATTAAGTATGCTTGTTGCATTTCTGTAGTATTGTAATTGAAAAGTACATTTTGCATTTACAATTGAAACGGCAATTGTAGCTTTTCTTTATACATCTATATGGTTAGAACAAATAGGAAAGCGTAAACATTGGTGAAATTTTTGATATACTTCAGTTGTGCTTCTTCAGTCAAAATAAAAGCAAGTGTATTTTAAACATTTGATTCATAATTGTACATAATTCTAAAAGGAAAATGCTATGAGTTTACATTGCAAGTGTTTTTGTTTGGTAACTGTAATTCTTTCAGAAGAAGGGATTTGCTTTTACAGATGCAATGCCTACTGAAGTCGGTAGGTCATGTGAGTAGGTATCCTCTCACCAGCTCTAAAATAAATCAAAACAATCTTCTTAGTAAGTTTAGCTGTTCTATTAAAAAAAACCAAACCAAACCAAACCAACCAAACAAACAAAAAACCCAAGAAATTGAGAATTTATACTATCTCATTAGATTGTTTTCAAAACCTTACCAAAACCAAAGACACATGTATTTTTTAAAACACATAATACTGGAGCTTAAACTCATTATATAGATAAGTTGGGGAAAAATTGTACCAAAGTTCAGCTTAGTTCAGGGTACAGTACAGATTTCTACAGTAATGCTATCTGTCTTACATAGCATGAGAGGATAGGACACAATGTGTGACATCTTAAGTAATTTTTGAGATTTACTGCAGAAAGAAAATATAAAACATTGAGCTAGTTGAGAAGTCTTCACATCTGTCATTCTTGATCTTGCATAATAATTTAATAATATTCAGGATTATTTAATAATCATCGGGATCTAGAAATGATAGTGTTCAGAATATAAAGCAATAAAGAAAACAAATTAATTATAGGATTTTTTTTTTGTCTAGTCTATAGCCTGATTTGAAAGAAAAGTAATAGAATGCCTGTCCAGTATGGCTACAGTGATTTTCATGAGAAACTTTGTAAGCATTTGGATTTTGTATCTGTTCTAACAGGTTAAAATCAGATATGCATATTACTAATGTGGGGTTTTTTATGAAAGGTACTTTTCACTGAACGAATTCATGTTCTAGCTGGGCAAAAGTAGGTTAACGATCAGGAACACAGGCTTATATATTCAGCAGGTAAAAAGATTTTGGAGTTCATGATCTATCTTTAGCTCAGAAAGTCCCTGAGCTGTAAGTTGCTGGAGACTGGGACAGTATCTATACCAGGAAAATACCACCGTAGGCTTGTCCTGTTCTCTTTTGGCAATACTTCACATTGTCTGTGTTCAAGATGTCACAGCATATATGTACTGCATGTGGAAGCGCACAGCCCAGAATATTTTTCTGAGTGAATGGTTGTCTGCAAATATGCTTTACAATTCAGTAGCACAGTATAAGGAAGAAATCAGCTGAAACCTGCTGGTATGAAATATAAATAATTCTTCTTTAAAGTTTTATTTTTATGTGCAGGGCTTGTTAGAATCTCAAATTAACTCTGCAAATACATACAAAACCTACGAAAATGTTGCAAAGAATGTTGCAGTGCATAATCAGTCACTTTTTGACTTTCTAACTATCCTTTGAGAATTGACAGTTCTCTCAGTGCTGATTTAAAAACGAACTTTAAAAAGCTTATTATTTGTTCCTTAAGAATCAGGAATCCATTTTTCTCTGCCTCAGTTAAGTTTTACAGTTACTTCCACAGTTACAGGTGGGAAGACAAAGAATGGTATTTGCACTATACTATGAGCTTTCTTAAGATCACAGATTGTAACTCTGAAAAAAACAGTAAGCAAATGGAATCAGCAGACGCTCGGAGTGTCTGATGAAACCTTGAGAAATAAAACATTTAAAATATCTCACTATGTCCTGCACTCTTTAACCTCACTACTCTCTTAACATTATCATCTCCTTTATTTTAACCACAATCTGGTAAACTTCAGGTCATTTTATGTACATTCTATAGATTGCAGATGATCATTTCTCTTGCTCATTATCATCAGTCATTAGATCACAGATCTAACTGATCCAGAAGTAAAACCTTTCTTATGCCACCAGTGGCATGTACTTCTTACCTTTTCTGTTTGTTTTGCTCTGCTTTAGGTGAGAGACTGAAGCTTGCTTCATTTTGCTATATCAACCTCTCTGCTGCTATAGTTGTGCATTAGCTTAATGTGCTATGCTGTTGTATTACAATGTAAAAAGTCTCTTGTCTCTTCTGTCTTTGTCACTGCAAGCTGCTAATCTGAATGAAGTGGAAAAAGGTCAGTTGTCTTTTATGCCTATTTTCACTTACTTTGGTTTCTCACTTTCTCTAAAGGTGCATGGATTTCAGATCTTACAAATGATCAAATAAATCGTATATAGATATAATATAGAAAGTTCACTGCAAATCCTCAAACTAGGCACTTGGCAATTACTGTGAATACTTGTCAGAAGAATGTCACTGAAGATGCAGATTGCTGTGCAGTACTTTAATGGTACCTTTGTTGTCTTTTTTTCAGAACTATTAAAAATTTATGCAGCCACTGATAGGACTAACAAAATCTTACATGGTGATCTTCTGAAATCTTTATTCTCATCACCTTAAAGACATACCTTGGTTTCATTCTAATGTATTCTCTGTTTTATAGCACTGTTTTGCTTTAATTTCTTTATTAAATTATGGTACTAGAAAATATGCTGGAGTATAACATGTCAGTCATCTTGCTCATCATTTCTGTGGCCTTTTTTTGCTGCAAATATTGATAGAATCTGAAATGAATGTATTAAGCTGAGGCTATGGCACAAGAAAGGCAATAGCGTAGGGATTTATGACACTAACTTTGGACATTTGTAATTTTTATTTTTTTTAAGTTTCTGCCTAACATCTATCTCACTAACAGAGATAAACCTGTGTAATATGATCATCTGTACAATCTGAGATCTAACATTATCATGACAGCATATTTATGAAGTTACTTAGTTCTAAAAGCTAGTGAATCATCTTGTGTATTTGCCATTAAAGTAATTTGATAAATATATTGTGCAGTCTATATAAAGCAATATAATACTTCACTAGTAATAAAAATATTTTCATTATCCATGAAATAGCATGTTGAGCAAGGCTGCAATTGTACCATATATGTTGGTTAATTTAGAGATCTGATGAATAATTCTTACAACTTAAACTCAGAACCTAAATTCTCTCTGTAACTGATGGAGAGAACAAAACATTTCCAGAAAGTGGCACCACCCACAAGTGTTCCATGCTTAAAGCTGTATTCTGTTTAGACGTGTTGCAGTATTTGTGTTTTTTAATTACTTATCTAGACAGCAGAGATAGCCTTTTGTTTTTCTTTCCCCTT